AAACAACAATAAAGCGTTTATATTAACCTAAACACAAATGCCATAGGTCCTCAAAGTACAACCTTTCATTTATAATATTACAGGTCACATTGACCAGGCCCGTTTTAAGGGCTGACTAGGCGTCCAATGCGGTACTTGTATGTGGTCAGAAATATAAGCAGTCATTATTTGTGATTTAACATCAATTTCGTCTTAAAAGGTCGTGTAGAGAAAATGATTTAAAGGGGATTAAATCATTTACAACTATATAGTTGTCTTATCTCGGAATAATATTATAACTTTTACGTATTTGCGACACGATGTTTGTTCGGCAGCAGTAGTGGACCCGGGGGGGGGGGGGGGAGGATAGATACTATTACAAAAAGACATTTCACGTATTCCACAACAAATAGACACTTATAATAAATCGTTACACAACAAGTAGCTTAAACCTTCAAAACATAGTTATTTTCAGGCAGCAAAAGCTGAATAATAATTTTAAATTGGAATATGACAATATCGATTTCACAAATATAAAAAAGAAATTACAACCGTACATTTGGCACGTATCATTTAGTGGTGTTAAATTTAAATTAATAACATTAAAAAGACTGTAAAGTTACACTGATTTAATGAATAAATCATACAGAATAAGATTTAACAAAAATTTGTTCTAAATGTCGTATTATATATTATATAATAGTGGCTATATCTAAACAGATATATTGTTTAAACCATGGATCCATGCTTAAACTACGAACTTTACACAACTTTATAAGTCGCAATCGAAAATTGGTTACCTTTCAACAATTTCTATTAAAAAAAAGATATTATAGGTGCATTTAACATAGTCTTTGTGTGTTCCGAAAAAGAAAAGCACTTCTAATCTTGAAACCGTGATAGTTCATCGAATGTCAACTTATATCTAAATAGTAAATTATGTTAATGTTCTTTGTATCCATTTATTCACGTCATATATAATATATATATTATTTTTTTATTAAACTAGTTTAAATGTGATTTAGAATTTGGTTTCGCACAAGAGGTTTGCGAGCGGAAAACGGCAAGTTCGATTGAAAAGAGAATGAGTTCAAGATTTAAATGACCACTCTTTAGTTCGTTCATGTTTCCATCTCTTTCACGCTTAATCAGTATTATCGTATTTCGCTCGTTCCCCCCTGCGCTGAGCTACACTACTCCTTACATTCTAGGTGCAATATATCGCATATTCACATCTTAAACATTTCTGTCTCATTCATAATGTACATTTTCTTTTATATATATATATATATATTGAAGATTATTAACTACTTTTATTAATTACTCCTTATAATTTGGCTGCATGTAATCTAATTGTAATTATAACAATATTATAATATTCTTTTTTCTTTCTAAAGTACAAACTTAACGTATTTTTAATAACAAATAATTTAATTATAAATTCCTCGGTCAATAGATTTTTTACCATTCATGATTATATATAATAATCACAATAATCGATAAAAACAAGGATATGTCCAGCCATTTTTATATAATACTAGATTAGAATAATACCGTCATGGCTGTACGAGTGAACAAGATTATAATAAGGGTATTTAAAAAGTTATAATAAATACAGAATACAGAAAACAAAACATAAACATGACTCAGTCTTCGTGAAATCGTAAACTATAAATAAGTATAGGACTTTCAGACAATGTGAAAAAGGTGAAATCGTTCATTTATTATTTAATCTTAATTAAAAATTAAATTAATTATAAAAGCAGCAAACGGCATCTTAGCGTACTTAGCCTACTTATTACAATCTCTAGACGAAACGTCTATTTGCACTCCTTCATTTATTCTTTCTTAACAACATTGAGCAAATTACTGAAAAAATAATAATTGTCCAGTTACAACAAATTCGCCGATTAAACGAGTTAACCCTTAAAATGAAACAGGAAATATATATAAACTAAAATATTTTGGTGTAATTACGTAATTTGTAACATAATTATCGTCTAGTTTATTTGCCACAATTAAACGCGATAGTTAAAATTTTCAATATTTATTAATTATGGTTTACTAATGTATTGTTTGTGTTTGATATGAGATACTTATTGAATATTTTAATTGACGAAACTCACCTAAATAGATCAAATTAATCTAAAATATTAAAGTAAAATATTGAAAAAAAAGACTATAACAATGATGGGTAGCAACACATACATAAATATCGTTAGCAGTAATAAATTTGTAAATTATTTTTTATTAATTTCTTGTTATTTTTTATTTTTGCTTGTTTAATAAAAAAAAAACATAATTAAAGAAAAATTAGTACAAACATTCTACGCCTCTTACAATATTCCATTACCTATCAATGCTCATATATTGATGAATCTTTATGACCATCGGTGTTAGTGAAAAAGTTTAAGTGAACGATTATTACATATTAAAGTAGCTTTTTATAAAAAAAATATATATATTAATATTATTCTTCTATCCCTTTAAAGGTTGTTTACTTTATTTTATTACACTACATATTAAAGAAAGTGTGTTCAGTGCACTAGATTTAATATTGGAATGTGTCAGTGTATTATATTTTCATAGTTGAACAAAATAATTTGTTTATTTTATTTTTTATATAAAACTAGCGTGAATTGTATGTGACATACACAAAAATCAGCATTATTGAACGCCAATACATCTGTGGTTAAGATCCTATTACCGTTTTATACCCAGCTAAATTATTCAATTAAAAACCAAACCGCAATTCGCTAAAACCTAATTCATCCAATCTATACTAATATTATAAAGCTGAAGAGTTTGTTTGTTTGAAAGCGCTAATCTCAGTAACTACTGGTTCGAATCGAAAAATTATTTTTGTGTTGAATAGACCATTTATCGAGGAATGCTTTAGGCTGTATAACATCACGCTGCAACTATTAGGAGCGAAGAAATAATGGAAAACGCGGACGAAGTCGCTGGCGGTCACTAATAGAGTATATAATTATAAAAAATTGTTATTATAAATTATTCCTCGATGTCTGAGATATTTGTTATTTCTGTAACCATCAAATAATATATGTAAATAGTGAAATAAATGATTACTATTTGTTATTGAATTTCCAACGCGAAACGGCGAATCCGACCCCAATATTTAACACGCAAACTTCTACTGTTAACGTTATCTGTTTAAAAATGATGGTTATTTTGTCGTATTAGGATTCAATATTGCTGATTCTTCAATCCATGATTATCCTAGCTATATTTACATTTCATCTTAATCTTTACATCCCTGACAAATATTGAAGTAGTAAAATACTGTCAGGTCCTCTTCATTCTTTGTAGATAAATTAGCTGTTCCACATTCGACAAAATATGGCTTTGAATAGTGCCACTGAATGAACCATCAAAAACATTATAAGGTATTTTTGTAAGAAGAGGCATTAATACATAGAGACGAGCTACAACATATCAGGACAGTCGTCAAATTGCTACAACCAACATTACGCCTTAATGCGTTTGAATTTGATTATAAACAGTATTAATTAATACATTCCAAATAAACTGTAATCCAACCACATCATCGCTTCAGTCTTCAATTTCTTCTAGTCGCTACACTATTTTCATCTGTGATATATACTGTAAATTGATATAGGTACGAGAATTTTTTTAAGCTATACCACGCTTTAAAACGTCAGCTAGAAAAATCCTGATTGGTCAAATTATTCAAATTCGAATAAGGTATGTAATACGACGTTTGGTTAGTTGCGCGGAAGCACTACAGGCCTTCTACTGTAAAAATAAAAATTCGATATTGTCGTGTTCTATTCCAATTTGATCGTTTGTCCTACTCTATCTTACGTGTTTTTAATCCAGATTAATGTAGAGCACGTTAAATTTGACTATATAACGAAAATTGGTTTTCAAATCAAAATTACTGATATTAGGCAATTTAACGATAATCATAATTATTTTTGCGTGAATATTTAATTAAAACGACTTTTGGAGCTTTATTGCATACAATAAATATATCCGTATTTATTTGTCTCAAGTATTGGAGAAGCATTTTCAGCACGTTTCTCAAGCTTTATTTGAAATATTAAGGTAAACATTGATAGTGGCAATTTGTGATTTTGTTATTTTACCTGATGTGCTGTATACCATAATTGTTCTAATTAATCTCTGAAGAATGTAATTGCTAGTGAAATGAAACGGACCTATCGCTTTATCCAAGAATATAACAAACCGTTCATTTTATTAATTTAATAAATATAATAAACCTAATTCGCAAGCGAAGAATCCATTTATTTTCTATAGCTATTCAACTCGTCACGTGACATTCTCTACGGCTAAGTCTCAAATTATCACATATGTGATAATATAAATTCTTTCTTTCTAAACATACAGAAAAGAGTAATGTAAATTATCTATCATTTTGGATCCCCATTAATTATTGTTTGTTTAAATAAGCTACATAGGTACAACTTTTTCTTCTAAATATGACAAAAGGTTTTTTCAGTAACATTATAAGTCTTTAGTATTATTAGTGATAGCTTGTTTAATGAAAAGTGAGATCAGATTCAACAAGAAGCGGTCTATCAGTGTGGGTGTATTGATTTAATTATCATAAGAAATATTTATTAACCATTATTCATAAATTAAACGTATCTAATGTGAGTATCAGTTTCTAATATTTTAATTTAGTTAAATGACAATATAAAACATGTTAAAGACTTTTTTGTTTCAAATCAATAGGTATATTATACTTCAAAATCTTAGATTATACTTTTTTTTAAATATAATAATTTGATCAAATCATCAGATCAAATTTAGATTTCAGTGCCACTTACGATACAATATATTTATAATATTATTCAGTGATGCGATTTTTATGACTGTCGTGGAATCGATAATGCGTGGATTATAAGTTTGTTATAATTTAAAAAGCACCGCCACCGTTTGGGAAGGTAGACAATGACCACACTATTTGGTCATCATCAGTTAATATAGGAAGATAATTTGGCGGCGTCAATTATTTAGTTCTCCTCGCCGAGTAGCACCAAATCATCAGCGACGACATCGGACACATGCAGGTAAATGATCCAGTACATAAGATTAAAACAGACGAAACAAACGGGGAACACGATGCGCGAATATTTGTCGATGTCCGAGGGTGTAGTGCCGAGAAGTTTGTTGATTCCCTGCAAATAATTCAGCGTGGCTAGAGCGATTAAATTTAACACGCCTCCTCACTGAGCATCTCACTCAGAACAGCTAGGTACAATTTCGTATGCAATAGTTATTGGTTAATTTGGTATTATATTATGAGCTGTCATAATCATCACGATCATAATCTCTCTTTCGCACTAATTGTGTTTAACAAAAGCTCATTTGATTGGTAATTTTTTTTTGGTGGCTATCTACCATAATATAGATGTCTCAAACACTTATGCTCTAGCCTAAAAAATTGCCGCAGTAACCTGGTTTCCTTAGTTTGGAAACGGCTTAAATGCTCATACGGAAAACTATTTCAATCAATTTCGCTGTGCTCAAACAATCGCATTGCAAAAACTGAAAACATTCGCAAATTGCGCATGATTTTGCAAAATCCAATTAATAATATTTTGATAAAGTTACCTTTGAAGCCTGCAAGAGATGAGGTGGTGGAGCAGCTTCTTCTTCAGGTTGCGGAACAGGTGGCGGTGGTGGGGCCCTAGCCCCATTAATAGTATTTTCCAAAGTTCCCCCTTTAGAGTAAGCTTTCGGGTCATGTACTTTTGAATCGCACCTCCTAAATTAACAAATTAAGAAATATATATAATCAGCCAGATTTCGGTTTCATATTTAAATCATCCTAAGGTGACCGAAGGTGCGATTATTAAAAGATCTGCTATACGGAGTTAAAGTAACTTTTGCCAGGGCCGGTAATCTGATGGGTGACCGAAAATATGTAATCTCGATCTCTTCCGTGCTTCGGTACCGTTGGTTTTGTTATTTGCAGCCGTTATCACTCACCAATTCGCACTCCCATTTGATTCCATCCTTTGTTTAGGCTTCTCTCCGGCGGTGGGCATATTTATAAGCTGATCAAGATCGTGTTACAATTTGAAAATCAATTTATAGATTTTTCTTAAAGTACTCAATTAACCCTTTATAACGATCAAAACAATGACCCTCCATGGCATTGATCTTTCTTTCTGTCTGAATGTGATAAACTCAAATATTGATCTTTGAAAATAACCAATTGATATTTTACTATTACACGTAAATTGTACCCTTGCTAAAAATATCTATGCTTTTATATCTGTAAAATTTTTGAATTTTGTGAATTGGTCTGAATATAGACTAAAGAAGTAGGGTAAAAAATTGGATAACAAGTGTTCTTAATTCAAAATAGTAATTACCGATGATCGACTTGGCGGTAAAGGTCTTGTCAGAGTACTAGTCCTTGGAGGAGGAAGGGGTTCCGATGTTCCAGGGGGTCCGTCTATATGCATTTTCTTCTCAGCAGCCATCTTTTGGACAGCGGTGAAACGTTGTTTCCTCATTTGTATTCGTTTTGCCATATATCCAACAGTAGCATATTCTGTAAATGACCAAATTCCTTTATAGATTGATACTTACTCAACTGAATACCGCCGAGCGAGAATAAAATATTCGGAACTCTTTATTCGAAAATATTATTTCACCAATATTTTTGTGTCATGTATCTTTCATAATCTATAAATTGTTTTCCAATATACAAAATTCAAATATAACATGACATTAAGTGGCATATCCATTTATACAAAATTATTAATTTCATTCAAATAAGGAACTTGATTAACAAAAGTTATACTACTAACAATATCTTATACAAAAATTTAGGCATAGAGTTAACTAACCAGGAATATCCTAAATAATAATTAAACCTTTTTGACGCTTTAAGGTTACCTAGTAGACTAGCGAAGACCATCACGAAGCAAGTTCCTAGGTAGACATCGATTGACTTCACATAGGAAATTTTAGGTAAAGCAGCATTTGTTGAAGACATTAAGGTTGTCATAGTCAAGACAGTAGTTACACCCAAGGACACTCGAGCGGGTGTCGCATTTCGGTTCAACCAAAAAGACACCCACGATATGATGACGATCAGCCCTGATGGAATGTAAATTTGAATCAAATAGTATCCCATAGAGCGAACGAACTGAATCTCGCACGCCAATCGGGAGTAGTTTCCTGAAAGAAAAAACATAAAAATGAAAATTCATAATATAGGTAAGTATGTATGTATAAATTCAGCCACATTGACTTAGCCAATTCGACCTAGTAACGCGACTTTCAGGTTACAATGTAAAAAATTCCAATGGTAAAACAAACGCATGCAGCATGGTATGTTTTATTATCTACGTAGATAATAAACATGAGACAGGTTGTAATTTATAAATGTCGAAAGTAGCTATATATTACTCATTTGACAATGTTACCACTGAATGGTTGGGCGTCAGTGCTTTTTGTACCTGTGGTGAGAGAAATTTCCATAGCTCGTTGGCGATGGCCCAGCACCTTGAACTGCGGCAGCGACACCTCGCTCGATACGCCCACAGAGTTTGGCCCCTCGTTCCACTTGTATCGGATGTCCCGCATGGTGTAGCCGACTGTACCATGCAGAGATATGGAACGATAAAATAAGCACCCATTCCACTGGGTTTTCAGAACACTCGGAGAGGTGAATGATCTGATTGAATTATCAACTACCAATAAAATAATGAATGGCACAGTGATAAATGTTGGCTGTCAATGAAAACATAAGCGTTGTCGATATTATTTGGAAATAATAATTATCTACTTAATAGTAAGCTTCAACATTTGTAGTTTTTGGAAATCTGGCAGCCATATTGAATAAAAGGAGTTTCTTAAATTTTGAAGCGAAAGTAGAATACTTAATTCCAATCGAAATTAAATAAATAAGTGGAAACTAAAAGCCAAAATTGTATCGATGATGATTTTCTTAAAAACTCACAGCTTTCGATCTCAATGTTGCATAACTGGCGATCCATAGGGAAGTATTGCAAGTCCATTGGGCAAGAAGCGGTAATTGTCAGTCTGTAAATTATAGCATTAATTATGATAAAAATGCCATGGCTCCAGTAGAAGTCAAGTTAATTGTTGCAGGTAATCTAAAATTTAACTTTTTTGTTTGGAAAATCATCTAATTAAAACCGTAGCTATCAATTTTGTTTACCTTATACTACGTGTTATAGATCCAGAATGATGAATGCGGATAAATTCGTTACTAGTGGTGGCAATATGGAAGTAAGATTGTTTTTCGTTTACGAAAAAGGTGTCGGGCACCCAAATGTTCCTTATAAATTCCGACCCAACCGAAAGAGTCTCCACACCTGTTCTCTTCTTATATGCCAACCTTGGATCGGTCCAAAACTGCCTGAAGTAGAAATCGAGTGTGAAATCCTGAAACGAAATAAACATTGAGAAAAATAAATACTTTTAGAGTCCACGTGTATTAGCATACTTGAATGATAACTACGCTTTTGCGGGTCCCACAGGTATTTGACTATTAAATGCACTTTAATGGTTAGTTATTTATTCAGTTTCCCAACTCCAGCTTAGTGAACATTCTTTGCATACTTTAGTATTAAAGAGCTTTAACAGATCTGACGGGAATACATTCCTGTAAATCACGAATCAGACATTAAACATATTTATAGTTTGATGTATTGACTGAACCAATTACTCGTATTTTACTATTTATTGATTGGGATTCTATGTCAATTAAAATTTATTCATGCATTCAGATCTGCTAAATATGAAAAAATAATTTTTAAATTTGATTTATATTGGAAAACAAATCGTGCAGCATTAAATTGTGTTTTTTTATTAACTATTAGAATTTGAATGCACGTGTATTCAAATTGGTAAATTCATGTTTGAGTTAAACAGTGATTTGTTTTTCCTTTATTTTCTATAAATAATATCTAAGCATATTAATTTACACGTATTTTTGAAATTGTGAAAGTTTTATAAAAATACTGTTAAAAATAACTTTTTATAAGTAAAGATAAAGATCAATCATCCAACTTAATTAGAAAGTATAAAGCAGAAAAATGTGAATATTAATGATTCTGCTAAAATTGAAACACAGCAATTGATTTGCGAACTTTTGATTTTGCTGAAAACCACAATTCATCTGTTTTGTACACTGAACTAATTAAGCGAATGCGGAATACGTGTAATTTAATATTGTTCTAACGTTAGATATAAATTAAAATTATCTGGTTAGTGGTCACGTCCTGAAGTGACTTTGACTGTCCCCTTGATTTGGCTTCCACTAGGGGTCATACACCCTGGTCGCAGTTGATAATTTTTGCTTTGAAACCGTTATCAAGGGTTTTGGCGTCATTTTTACACACATGAAATCACGTTCCGAAATAGCTCAATCGTTTTCACTGAGTGACATTTCTAGGTAGTGCCAACATAAGTGGATTTTGAACTCTTTCACCGTCAAGGATAGGAATAGCAAATTTATTCCCAATTATAGTTTAAGGAATGACTAGAAAGCACAGATATTTTTTGTTTTTCATAAAATAATAAAAAAGACAAATAAACTAAAGCAAACACCCGAAGTTTCCACGTCCCACCGGAACTCCCTAAACAACGGAATAAACATTAAAACATTCATAGCAAGACTACGTAAAGTAAGACATTTTTAAGGCGAGTAGCGGGTCTGAAGTGCTGAACGCCATTCTGAGAGACAAGAGTAAGAAACCCACAGTCACAACAGATACCTACTCAAGAACATAAAAAGCTTAAAGGAACTAAAAATTAAAACAACAATGGAGCAAATTTACGACAATGTCTTGTTTGGAGAGGTGCTAAAATAGCAATATTTTTAGTATGTCGTTAATTAGGTAATGACACGCCCGGATGGGCACACCACTATGTCCAATTACTAAAGACAATTTTAAAATGTATTTATCAGTTTAGTATGATATTAATTTTGAAAGTAGTGCATCGCCTTCCGGGCGGTCAGCTCCATAACGCCGGCATGCTCGCAGCCTCGTGTCTGGGGCTGCTCGGTCGCAGCGGCAGCGCGGCCGGAGCGACCGAGTCAAGCGTGAGCTGACAGTGGCGAGTACCATGAGCACTTCGGAGACGGAGCTGATAGAGAGCACATACATGGTGACGCCCACCTCCACTGGCGGACCTGCAATCAAGCCCAATCGTGAGTAGCGCACGCGCCTCGCGCCGTGAAAACCAAACCAGAGGACGGTGACGTGACGCTGGAGTCCATAATCGAACTAACGCCCGTCTCTATCCGAAACGGGCCTTTGCTCGATCAAGACTCCCTAACCTAAATGCCCTTCTGCCTTTTGTTACTAGCATGACAATCTACATTAAATGTGTACATTACTAAATACCATTTTCACTTCAGATAAGGAGCTGATGGAGAGCACGTACATGGTGACTCCTACATCCACTGGTGGTCCTGAAATATTATACCAGTTAAATTATACATTACCGGAAATCATCCTGCAATTTTGTAAATTTATAATTAAACCAGTAACGTTATTTGAGCAGTTACAAACGGGACGTTAAATTACCTATATATATATATATATATATATATATATATATATACCTATCGATGTTGATTAGGACTTTCTTGTAAATAGAACCACATAAGAGCGTATAGAATCGAGCCTTGGAGCACCACGTCACAGCGTGAGTTGACTGCTGAATGACGGGACCAAACAAAAAAATAATAAAGATGCCTCAAAAACTGAAGATAAATACGAGAATATTATATATTACCTGTTGGTAATCGCAAAGTATTAATAGGTTCCACATAATTAGATTTATGTGTAGAACATCATCAACGGTAATTAAAAAAAAACTAAGAAACAATGTGCACACTGTTTATTGCTATTGATAATTCATCTGTCTTTCGTACCTAATACAAGAAAAACGTATATCTAAAAATTAAACTATGAATGTCATTCATAACTTTCTATAAATCACGTGTAGAAACATTTCTTTAACAGATAGGAAATAATTATAGCCCAATAATTGTTAATTTATAGGTTTAATTTCGCCATTGTTGTATCATTTTCAGAGTCTAATTGCACGATTTTTATTTGATTTCTTTCCATACTTATTTCTTTTGGTTGCTTTTACTAGAATTACCTCTAAAGGACTTACTAATGACGATATTTTTCACAGCTGTTACCTATATATATAAATTAAAAATAATATAAATTCCTCAGTAGAACCGCCAATGGTAGATCATAAGCTATAAAAAATATGACCAATCAAATCGTTTTAATTAATTCCCCGTGTTGGTCAAATATTTATAAAATGTAAAAGGCCTGTTAAATTATCCTATTCTGTCGATACAAAACACGTCAGCCAATCAACTAAAAATACTGCAAAATTATTTTACTACTTTCATCAAATATTCAACGATTTGTAAAATCCCGCACAAAATAGAGGCTTCCAACAAAAATAAACATTGAAACTGTTCTGTTTAAACTTATAAATAACCATAGCTTATTAATTTTATCAATACACCGAGTTGTTAAAAGATAAGATGAATTTTACTTTTTTACGTTATTATGCTATATACTATACACATAACTATACATATCGCACACCTAGATCTAAACTGAGACAACTTAAAAATTTGAGTGAGTTTTGACTTAGTACAATATTCAAATTCTCGGTGAACATACGCATCTATCCAACATAACAGATTCAATAAAGGTTCGGGGATGAGGCGCTAGATAACTTTACCTTTCTTTTATTGAATCAACAGTGGTCGAGCTCCTGCCACGTAAACAAATGTATTGTCAGACCTCCACATTACTTTTTTGAGTTGTCTTAGTTTAGATCTAGGTGTGCGATATATAAAAGGAGATGTCGTGACATACTTACTGACAATCAACGCACAGCCTAACCGTTGATCGCAGAGACTTGCAATTTGGAAGGTACTTTCCTCTTATTACGTAGAGGCCAAAAAGGGTGAAAGCATTTGTATGAAACTGTTTTGTTTCTGCAGCTATATCATTGGAAAATTGGTATTTTGAGGTAAAAGGTTATATTTTATCCCGAAAAGTAGCACTTACAAGGATGAAAATTGGTGTTTGAGTACATAATTTATAACAAAAACAACGTTCTAAATATATATATCGTATATATATATTTATAAATATTATAGTTCAAATCATTATAAATACGAAAGAAAACACAAACTATATATATGTATTGCGCAGCTGCTTTGGTCAAAATTGAGTTTTCAAATAAAATTTAGTAAGAACTTTATGCTTTGCTATACTTTTATGTGGCTCAGTGAAGAAGTGAATAAGCGCCGCGGCCCGCGATGGTTGTTGTTAAGCAGCTTTTGCCAGGATCGGTCACGAGATGGTGACCAGAAAATTGACTTTTTGACATCATTTTTTCACTTGATTTAATTTTGCATTGCTTAATTAAATTATAGACATTTATTATGAATTCATGACATAATTTAATCTAATTTGACATTTTATGTAATATTTTTACTCCGAACTAGGCAGATATTTGGGATTTAACTTTACTAGAACACATTTGCATAATATACCCAAAAATTTGAC